AAATGTACACAGACAACAAAGGAGAGCAGTGAGAACCATCCTGACCACTTCAAAACCTCAGCTCCATTGCTTGGGAAGCAGGAGGTGGAGGCTGAGAAGCCATTTCCCTTCCACCCTGCCACAGTGCTCAGCCCCTGCCATCTGCAGGACAGACAGACAGACAGAGCAGTTCCTGCTGCAGGACAGACTGCCAGTTTAGCTGCCATGGCCAGGAGGAGCAGCCCCAGAGCCTCTGTGTGCAACAGGAGCCAGGCAGGGACAGCAGGGACAGGAACAGCAATGCTGCCACCTCAATGCCCTCTAATCGAAGGCAGGCACCACCTTAATGGTTTTCTTCTCAAGCTCCTTCAATTCCAGTTTTTGCCACAGAGTCCTATGTTAGTTCAGGCATTTAACATCCACAATACTTGGCTATCTCACCAAGACTGAGCCAAGACAGCAAAGGAGCACTAAAACTGATTGCTGCTGCCTGCTCAGGTGCCACAGCAGCTGCATGTTAAGGGAATTCTGTGTTCTCTGGGGGTTCCAAGCCCCTGACAGGCCTGCTGAGAGCCCTCCACACACAGCACCCTTGGGCTTTCTCTCTTTTTTTTGAATTCTGGTGAGTGCCTGCCCAGGCAGAGCTGTGGCTGAGGAGGATTGTTATGCAGTGCCACACCTGAACCGCTCATAGCCCCTTCCCCTGACAGAACAGCACAAAAAATCAACAACTCCCACCCTTAAAGGACCCATAATCCAGGTGAGGCCTTACAGGGCTTTCTGCTGTGCTGGAGGGGAGTTGGGCTCCAGCACTGAGGGTTGCTTGGTGAGGCACTGGCTCAGTGCTTCATTTCCTGAAGGGATTCCTGCAGGGAAGGGACTGAGCCATCCCCATGCACAAACAGCCCGTGTGTAAAACACAGGGCTCACGAGAAACTCACCTGCTCACTTCTTACAGCACAGGAAACAAAGGTTTGCAGCTCTGAGCTGGGAAAAGGCCACATCACTGCTGCAGCAGCCATTCAGGACTCCCTAAGGATCAAACAGCATGGAAGGACTGCCCAGTTGTGTTACAAATGGAGATGTACACGTGGGACAGCAGGATTGTAAGTGTAAAAAGACACGGACATTTTCAAGAACTCAAATGCTAACAATAAGGATTTTGTATCAGTGGTATGTATCACAAAAGAGTATCCAGAAGTAAATAGTGGACATGGAACTGGAGGCCCATCTTGGGAACTGTGCTCCAGCCAATGGTTATTGAAATAGCTGGGTTTAAATTTCCACATTTTAAATACTTTTTCAGTTTGTCTGAGATTAAAAACACAGATGGGGATTGCTGGTATTTTATTTTAGACTATCTAGGCTGCATCCTGAACCAAAACACTCACTGAAGCATTACCTTGCTTGTGTTTACATCAAATTTGAATGTGTTGCTTGCTCTGATATACAGAGTGCACAGAAACCCCAATATTTTGGTGAATACCCTTCTGAATGTAAACCATCAGCAGCAGGAACCAACATTAGCACTGCTGAACAGCAAATCCTGGTGTTCTGTGATGTGTAGCAGTGCAGGAGTACTACAGAAAACTTAACTGTAGCACCAGCAAAAAAGCTCATTTTGCAGCTTAATTAATTGTTAACAATTAACACCGTTTTAGCAGGCACTGCAATCTAAGGCTGAAGAGTTTCAAAGCAAGCAACTGTACTACATGAACATTCTGTTACCTTGCACAATGTGCATGAGAGATCCAGGATACCCAGGTGGTGGCTCCCTTGGCAGCAGCAGGGATGCCAGGGCAGCTCAGGCTGGGGTGGCTCTGTCCCACAGGGCACAGGGGAAGCTGTGCCCCCTCTCATGGAACACTCCAGCCCTGCCTGGCAGTGCCAGGGGAGCCCAGGGCTGGCAGCACCTCACAGTGGGAATAGGAAATGTTCCTCATGGGTGGCTCCTCCTCAGGAATGCTGCTCCTGGTGTGCCCCAAGGCTTGGAGGGACTTTAGAAACCCCTGGGCTTTGTTAGGCCAGCATGCTGGGGGCTCCTCACTGCCATGAACCCTGGAGGGTGGGACTGATAACAGCCTGATAACAAGGATGAACAGGGCAGTTCATGGAGGGCTGGGGCAGCTGGGCAGGGAGAGGCTGCTGCCAAAGCCCAGCAGGGAGTGCCCTGCAAAGAGCAGCTCACACAGGAGGAGTGAGGAGAGGGCTCCCTGCTGGATGTACCCACACACACCCATCCATCCCCAGAAGGGCAGGTACACATCACACAATGATGGAGTTCTTGTCCAGGCCATTGGTGAGCCACAGGACACCAGCATTCTTCTGCTCTCTAGGAGACTCCACTTACCTGGAAGGTGATTTTTGCTTCTTTTGCTGCTGCACATACTGGAGAAGGAAAAGCAGCAGGTATGAGCAGAGCTGTGTTCCTCCTTTCCTTCAGACCTGAACAACAGGGATTCTGTTTAGCATTGCTGGGCACTGCCATGCCAGTGAAGCCCCAGCCACACCCTCTGATGGCAGCAAATAAAACCTGATAGGAACATTTCCAGTGGCTGGAATTCAATGCCACAGTAAGTGATTCCCAGAAGTTGCTCTGCCAGACAGGCAGCAAAAAGAGGCCCTGTACAGATGTGTTCACAAACTGCTGTGTCCTTTTCAGTCAGAAAATGAGGTTCAGATTTTCTGGCTGCTCCTCTTGCTCTGGGCACAGGTCAGTCCAGCCCAAAGCAGAGGCAGAACAGGGGCTGGTTCTATGCCTGTGCCTTCCCACTCAGAACCTGCTGCCCTTCTGGGTGGAGCCCTGTAGGTATTGCTAATTAACAAATACACTTCTACACATGACAGTGGTTATTATTGCTAAGAGCAGGAAAGAAAAATTAGACAACTAAGTGCAAAATAGAAGTATAAAATTTATTTAAAACCACCCACAAAGTTCTGTGTAATCAGGAATGATACAATTTGTAATAGTCTTTTTAAAAACTCATGACAAGATTTAAAATATATTTTCAATTACAGTATTCATTTAGCCTTATTCAGTTAGGACAATAAAAAAAAAAAGAAAGTTTTACGTTCTAAACAGATGAGACACACAAGAAAAATAGAACAGAACAGACAATTTCCACAACGACAATTTTTACATGTATGTTTCAATACTAGTATCAACATTTCAATGCATCTTGCTACATAAACATGAAATCATGTACAACAACTGCTTGCACCAAAAAACATAGCTTAATTAGATCTTTCAAGTAACATGCAGTCACAACTCACAAGTCTTCAAGTACTGCTGGTAAGGGTTCCCTTGTCTGCAAAGAAGATTTTAAGGTTCAGTTTCTCAGCCAGCACAACTGCCCAGCTCCACCAGCCTCAGGGAGCTGGGCTCAGTTACACTAGGGAAGAATCAGGCCCCAAATGGTTTTGTTTTTGTGAGAAAAGAAGTAATTTTTACACTTTCTCCTGGAAATACTGTGACATAATGAAGTGCTTTTTCTTTCTGATTTTTTTCTCCCTGTACATCACTTTTTGCTTAAAAATGTTAGTTTTATGTTCCAGATTTCAATACAGTACGTTGGTAACTGGGAAGAAAACCTCAAACTCAAAGTTGAAAAATAAATATCAAATGCATCCCAAGGAAAGAAAGAAAGATTGAAAAGAAGAAAGAGAGAAGGAAAAAAACAATTACTTTTTTTTCTTTTGCTTTGGCATAATCTGTTATATTCCCAAAGCAGGAAGGAATTCATTAGCCACTGCATGTCAGTGCAGCATGTCCTTACAAATTCATGTTCTTTCCTAATGACAGCAAATTCTGATCAGTACTTGTGACCTGGCGTGAAATTGTCACATTATGGAGAGCTGTCTCTTCCAAACTGAGCAAATAACCATAGAGTAATTCACTTTACAAACTGAAATGTATGAATGTTTGCATTGGTTAGAACTGCCTTTCTTTTAGCAGTACTGGGATATCCCATTTGTTCTTCTGGACTCCAATTATTTTTTCATTTAGAGGACAAGAGCATCATGAAGTTCAGCTGCTGCCTTTTGAGTGGCAGGGGTTAGACAGGCATCCACAAGGCTGGTACAAAATCTGTTCTCATTAGGCTCTGCAGTGTACAAATTTCAGAAGGAAAGTACATTTCCTGAATATTTCCTTTTCCTCACACTTTTTCTGAAGGAGAAGTTGGCTCTGCATCCCTGCCATGCAGGGGGGCTGCTGCTCCCACAGAACCTGCAGGGGCAGCAAGGGAGCTCTGCAGGACTGGGGCAGCAGAGCCGTGCCAGGCTCTCCCTGCCAAGTAGCACCACAGTCAGGGAAGGCAGGAGGTGCTGGCTTCAGCTCTGTGCCCCAAACTCACAGAGTGACACTGCACACAGCTGGGGTGCAGTCAGGACACAGGGGACTTCAGTAGATTGTCACAACCCCAGCTTATATCATCAAGTAAAAGGGATCCAAGTTATGATAAAGGCTAGCAAGTATTTTAAGAAGAACTACCATAAAAATAGCATTTTGGATAATTTTGTGAGATTTCTGGGCTGGCCATTACCTAGAAGTACAAATCTCTTAGCACATTGTCTTTGTAGACAGTGTTGGGCAAAGGACAGCCAATATAAGGAAATATTTCAAACCTGGTAAAACCCAAGCAGGTCTGTTCAACCTCTATTTCTAAACTAAGAACATGTGGATGTTACTGGCCAGTATGTGCACAGTAAGAATACCATGAAATTCATTTCAGATGATTGTACAAACCAGTCATTTGCTAACTGTTTGCTTTTATTTATACTACTGCCCTTTTATGCTCTGATCAGTGTGGTGGATACCCCAAAGGATGTAAGCCAGCTCCACTTAGGGCCCCTTCATCCTCCCAGTGCAATGCAAAGGACAGCAGCACAAATAAGAATCAGGGCCTCCCTTCTTGCTTTAAGACAACTCCCAAACCCTAGACCCTTTTCCCATTACAATATAACAAAAATACAGATATACATGTAAAATATTGATCAGGTCACCAAACTTTCCACGACAGCATTAAAACGTTCTGTGCCAACAACTGCACAACTGAACACCCAAAGCAGCACCAAGAGGGGCACAGCTCAGCTGCTCTGGGGGTAGCTCTGGAGTTTGGTGCCCACCTGCCCTGCCCACAGCTGCAGCTTCTGAGCAGTGTCTGCAAGGGGAGCAGGGTGTGGGCAAAAGCACCACTGGGGTCACACAGACCTGTCACATTCAGGCACTGAGCACCCCACTGCAGGGATGCTGCTGGAAGATTCTGCCATTGGAGCAGAAGTGTGTGTGGAAAATGCCATTTTATGGCCCAGCAGAAGAAAGGGAAATACACTGTCTGGAGGAATTAAGGATACAGCACCAAGAAACAACTTGTACCTTTTACAGCTGAAGCTTAGCAGTACAGGGTTGAGCACCATGAGCAGTTGCTGGGACGGTGAACTGGGAACAGGATTGGAAAAAATCCTAAAGTCTTAATTCTCAGAGAGACAAAGAAACAGCAATGCTGCCACCTCAATACCCTCTAATAAAAGGCAGTAACCACCTTCTTTTCTTCTCAAGCTCCTTCAATTCCATTTTTTGCCACAGAGGAAGAACATGTTTTCCAAGCAGTCCTGTGTTAGTTCAGGCATTTAACATACACTGGATATCTCACAAAGACTGAGCTAAGGTTTAAAGAAGATGCAAAGAAACACTCCTGCTCTTGCAATCATGCAGGGCTGCAGCAGCTGTCTGGTGGCAGGAATGGAGCAGAGCTGTTAAAAGTGACTCAAAAGACAAGAGGACTCAGAGATGCAACCCACATGAAGAAATCCTGTACTCTGAGAAGGAATGACTTGTCCTTCTCAGGGGATGATGGTTTTGCAAAGTCTCTTTTGTTTGGCTACTTGCAGATACAAGAACAGATTGTAACAACTGCACCAAAAAACTCTGAAAATTAACTGGAAAACTGATTATTTGATTTTAAAAAGTAAGAAAACAGTGACTGTGACAGATTATGAAGTGGACATTAAAAAAATCCCACCTGTAATATTCTAGGCTCTGTATGAGAAAATGTGAAGTAAAAGCCCTGGAGCTGTCACATCCAGAATATAAAATCAAGGAATCAGACTGGTTTGGATTGGAAGGGACCTTAAAGCTCACCTCCTTCCACCCCCTTCCACCACTCCAGGTTACTTCAAGCCCTGTCCAACCTGGCCAGGGACACTTCCAGGGATGGAACATCCCCAGGCTCTCTGGGCAGCCTGTTCCAGGGGACTGGATGTAAAAGAAATGGATTTCAGGGGGAGAGTCCAAGGAGAACAGCTCAGTGTGACACTGCTGGGGTGGAGGTGGCTGACTCCCAAGCAGGACAGAGCGCAGGGGCTCACGGGCAGGCTGGCAGCGTTAGTGCTGAGCCAGGGCTGTGAAGGGAGAAACCCTTGAAGGAGTTACAAGCACTGAAAGCATCCAGCAGCAGGTGACAATGACTGAGCACAGCTGATGGTTTGGAAAGAGCATGGAGAAAGTTGGCCAGAGAATCCAGTGAGAGCTGCACAGAGTAAAAGTGGTACCCACTAATCCACACCAGCCATGTTAAGTGATTTTCAGGGACACAACTCAACATCATGTAACACTAAGTCTTCATAATTCAGTCAAGAATGTGACAGTATTAAAAAGTTCTGCCTGTTCTCTAAAAGCACCAGAAAGGCTTTAACAGGGAAGTAACAAACACAGCACATATTCAACCTCTCCTTAGGGGAAGTGATCCATATGTAGCCTGGTGCCTGATCAGGTTCTATTAGAAATCCTTGGCCTTTCAGCAAACCTCGAATGTAAAACTCCTTCCTTGATGTAATCACAATTTTGTAGCAACATCCTAAAGCAGAATGTGGACAACTTGGAAAGGCTGGCTAAACATCAGGTAATCCCAGAGGAGACTGAAACCACTTCCTGAATTGCTGAGAGTAAGTAGCCACATCCTCTAGACTGCTGCCACTGGTCACTGTTTAGATTCAAGGAGAATGTTGAGTGTGTCACAGACAAAATAAGCCACTGAATTTAAAGTCAGATGGACTAACAGAAGTGTTAGTATCAAGAAGTACCATGGCAACCACATGTACACAGAAGGCTGACTCAAAACCCAACTGTACCTTCACAGCTTTGCCTGCGATTTAGCTGTGCTGTGCAGAGAGCCACCAAGGCTGGAAAGGGCCTTGGAGACCATGGAGTGCCAGCAGCAGCTCCAGCAGCTCCAGCAGCTCCAGCAGCTCCAGCAGCTCCAGCAGCAGCACCAGCAGCTCCCTGTGCTCCCTGTGCTGGGGCAGAGGGCAGCAGGCTGCCCATGACAGCAGCACTTGCTGCCTTGTTTGTGTGTGCACATTGACAATGGGGGCCAACTCTCTCCCTCCTCTGGTGCTTTTTTACACCAGATTATCAGGCAGAGACCAAAGGAGAGATTTCTGCCTGTGGAGGAACTGCAGAAAGGAGTGAATTTGTACCCGATCCCCACAGTGAAACACCTCAGTGGCCAGAGCAGTGCTGTGACACTGACATTGCAGGGCAGTACCATACAAAGACATTCCCTCCACACCTCCTCCTGCAAGTCCCATCAACCCCTGCTAAAGCAGCAATTCCCAAAAGTGATGCACTGCTCCTCCTCTGTAAGTGCTACAGACATCACAAAGACCCTAAGCTGAATTTCAGTGACCACAATCAGCCAGAAGGAGTTTCTCCCACACTGCCTGAATGTGTCTGGTGTTAACACACAAAGCATGCAAGTGGCCGTGCAATTGAGTTTTCTGTATCTGAGAGCGCAGCCATTCCCTCCTGATAGCCTAGAAATGACAGGATTTCTATGGAAAAGAAACAACCAGATGTATAAATGGATCACAAAGCTGGTGACTGCTTGATAAATGGAGCTAATTTCAACATTAGACAAGCTACAAGGGAAGTGAAAGAGCAAGACTGACTCTGAGTTGGCACAAATGTTGGTCCACTGTTGTCCACATCCATCCAATTGAAAACCTCATGGATGAGCCCTTTGGAGTCAGCAGGGCTGCAACAGGACCCAGATTTAATCCACCATATTCAGTTAATACTGCAATGAAATTAAAAAGCTCTTTAAAAAAACCCATACAGTTGTATGGTAGAATCTTGAGTACTAGACAAGTTGTCACTTACCCATGCTAAACACAAAATGTTGCTCCAGATTAACTGCAGTTATTTCTGTTCTACATCTAGAGGAGCCCTGTCATAGGTAACACAAGGACCTTCACCAGCAGTTAACATTCTTAGAAAGTCCTTAAAAAATCTGAATACAACTGTTACAGGCTGGAAGCTGCAAATATTTGTAAGTAGTTAAAAAGCTTCTTGGATCTTGTGACTAAGGTATGTATAGAAATATTTCTTTCTATTTCCTGCAATACAGCAGCATGTGAACAATCAGTAAATCACTGTTTAAGTGGACACAAGGGCAGTGAGTCCCCCAGGGAGCCAAACAAGCCCTGCTCCTCCCTCCCAGTGCAGCTGGAGCCAGGGGACAGAGGGATGAGACAATTCTGGGGAGTCAGAGGTGCCCTGTGCTATCATGACAGTTTTTCCTGGCACACTGTAAGAACGGATCCAGAGACAAGCACACCCCACTGCCAGCCCACAATGAATCCATGGGCAGGATTTGCACCCAGAACATTGTGCCAGCTGATGGAAACCCAATAAAACATGCAGGTCTGACCAAGCCAGCTACCTTCATTCCTGATCCAGCTCCTGGTCTGGCTATCCACGAAGGACTTGGGTTAAAACCTAAGAGCAAATTACGTGTGGTTGTGTGGGTTGCAAAGGAAAGAACAGACCCACAGAGTTGAAGACTTCAAGAGATAAACACTGTTATAAAATGATAACCTTACTGAAAACAATGCAATTTGTGTACAAGACTGATAAATATCCTGAAGTGTTACAAGAAATAGCACAGAGTTGTAGAAGCAGTAAATATTTGCATTTCCTATACTGCAGTACAGCAAGAGGAAGGATCAGCTTCTCAAACCACAGCAGGCAGTGGAAGTGCCCAACCTGCCTGGCAGGAGATGCTGAAAAAGCAATTTAGGTGAAAGCCAAGGAAAGAGCACCGTGGGTGATCTGCTGTTGTGTGGGTGATATATTTCTCTCATGTAAGTAACATTAATGAAGTAGTAACTGTGAGTTTAGCACCTATCAGTTAATAGTATTAATTATGTTAAGATACACATTTCTTTGTTAGAATTGCCATTGGGCTACCTGTTTGAAGGGATCCTTTCAGATCCACCTTTCAGTGCCTCACTTCTTAGAGGGAAGCTGCTGGTTTTTCAATGGAACATTTTAATCTGAAGTTTCCAGTAAGTTAAATGTGGGCATTTGTAGGAGAAGATTCAAGTAAAAATGATTCACTTTAATGGTATGAACAGTTTAAAAGGTAGAGATGGCTCTGTAGCTTACCAACTTTGTGTAGGAAATCTGTCACAGCAGAGTGCTGAATTACAGCATTGCAGAAACTGAAGCTGTCAGGGCTCTCAGTGAAACCAAGAAATGAATCTCTGCATGGTGGGACAAGAACATGGCTGAGCAGCTATGGAATGTACAGCACCCCTGACTGGATGGGCAGCTGCAATTCCTGCTCAACTTCGGCTCACCAAAAATATACAAGTTTGGAAATGGAAATCTAAGGCACACAAAATACCAAAATGATTTGATGTATACTGTATATTACATAGTCAATAAGCATAAAACTGCTGGTACAAAACAATGCCATAATATTGGTTCTGTTTCATCATTATTTACAATCCCTTCATATCCTCTATCTGAACTAATATTAAGCTTCGAACTAAAATTTGCAGCATACCCGGTTTTTACAGGTTTTACTTCAAATAGGTAAGATCCAAAGAACTGGTTCAATTCCTCCACCCTCTGCCATTACCAGCTTTGTCAGCCTGGCCAGGAATGTGCAGAACTGGAGCCAGGATTATGCCCCAGGGATTGCTGCTGCAGCCCTGGCTCCAGAGGAGTCTCCTGGATCTGCCCTGCACCAAAGGATTTGTAGCACCAAGGTCCTGACTGGCTCTGGGTGTCAAACACCCACGCGCCTCGTACCAAACTGCAATGGAGCTCCTGCACTTCAGCTCCTCCAGGGAAAAGCACCTTGTGTTGAAATGAAGCAGATCCAGGCAGCTGACACTCCTCTGGGCAGCAGCACCACAGTATAACTGTGTCAAGTATGTGATGAGCACGTCCCACAGGCTGAGGCACAGAGGGCACAGCACCACACAGCTCCTCCTGCCCCCAGCCAGCCCACGTGGAAGAAGCTGCAGGATGAGGTCAGTCCTTAGCTATGCTGTCATTTGGTCATTTGTTTCAATAAATAAGTTTAAACAAGAAATACACAGGAGAGGAGAATCAGAAAGAAGAGTGGGATGCTACAGTATTTAAAAGCAATGGAGTGTCTGTTTTTCCTCTGGTTTAGCAAATTCTCCTTTTGTGATATGTCACTTTCTCAACAGAAATGAAGAACATAAATTTCAAGGAAGGGTGTTAACCGTTTCCATGTCAAAAGTATAAATTGCTTCAAAAATTTACAAAACATTTTTGTAAAAAAACTGAACTCAGAAAGTTGGTGAATATAACAGATAGGTTATTAACAAAAACTTTGCTGCTAAATATTAGAAATTTGATTGTTTTCCAACACGTCCTTTGTATTTTTCCCAAATTAATTTTTTCTATCAGAACACAATAAGGCAACTCTAGGGGGTAGCTTTTTATCCCAAAGCAATCCTACCCCTGAGGCATTAGGAACATTTGGCTGCCATGTTAACTTAGAAGGCTGGAAACAAATGACACTGATGCACTTATTGCTCAAAGAAACCATAACAAATGCTGCCTTAAAAAACCAGGTAATATTCATAACTCCCAATAGCAACACACAGATTGACCAGACATCTCCTCTTGCACGTTTGTACACTCTCTTGGAAAAGAACAAAAAGGTTCTATAATTCATAACTGCTTGTTTATATGCCACATAAAATCTTCAGTGAAAAAGGGCAAGTTGAAAACAACCACATATGCTGTCAGCATACATCCTGCACCTGTGACACCATGGAACTCTGCACAGCAAGAACAAAATCATTTCTTCTGTAGAGTATGCACAAACCTTAGACAATATGATCCTTATACTATACTATTTCAAGTTAATTTTAAAAATAGAAAGTGCTTTTAAAATATATATTTACAGCTTAGAAACAACTTCCAGCCATCATTACCAATAACTTCATTCTACTGACGAATCTAAAGAACAAAATTAGTTGGTTTTCTAAAAGATTGGTCTGTAATTTGGACTATACAGCAATGGTTGGAAGTTGTTAAAGCAATGGCACCATGAAGTAATAATTCAGCTTATTTATTTTTAACTGTTTGATGTGGTTAAGCACCAAGAGCTGTGTAGAGCTATAACTGTATAACTTGATTTAACACCATAAAATGTGAACCTGTTAAAATAGCTATAAATGATTTTTGTAGTAAACAGACGATTCAAAGCACCAAAATATAAATTCCTAAAGGTAATAAACTGAATGATTCAATCAAGGTTAATAACCTAACCAAAATCTTTCTTTAGAATGTATTAAAACTATACAACTTTTTTTTTTTTTGCTTAAAATGTGCTTGAGCACCACCAAATGTTAAAGTCACAGTTTAAGAAGAAATCCCCCCCCTTTTTTTTTGTTTTTACCTCAGCCTTAGAATGGTTGAGATGAGCAAAGAGTAAAGGACACGAGGCTTGTTGTGTGTGAGCCCTGAAAGCAGCAGCGTGTGCCGGCCCCCGCACGCTACGCCCAGTGGTTGTAGGGCCCTGCCACTCGCGTCAGGGCGTACGAAGACACTGTGATCACGTTGTCCTTGGTCACTGTCAGCGCTCTGCGCGATGGAATTTGGTTGAACTCGTTGTCTTCATAAAAGATATCTCTGTTTTCACCCGGCTGCTTTGCTTTCCTGCTGCTGGAGCCCAGCTCGGCGTTCTCCGTTCCCAGGCGTTCCGCCTCCTTTTCTTTCTCTCGCGCCCTCTCGGCCATCTTGGCTTCCCACATGGCTAAACCGTGTTTTGGCTCATTTAAATTTTTGTGTTGGTAAAAAACTAAAGAAATTCTCGTGGGATGATTGCGGTTGGGTTTTTTGATTGGTGTGGTAGCGTGGAGCTCACGTCTCGCACATTCAATTAAGATAGAACCATGAGAAGGTGCCACAGCAACCCCACCAATGTCATCATCCAAAAAATTGTGCTCGCTGTCTGACCACAATTCCTCAGCCTTTTCTTCAGAATCAGCTGCCTGTCCCAGTTCACTGCTTTGCTTTACATCAGCACAGTCCAAGTCACAGCTCTGTCCCCCATGGGAGCTGCCCTTTTCCAGGGGGCACCCATGGGAGCAGTTGGCGGCGGGTGCGAGGGCGTCCTGTGCCAGGGAGCTCGGTGGGAGCGCTGGGTCACAGGAGCTGGTCGGCTCTGGGGGGGCACAGGTGTCCAGCTGAAGCTGGCAGCTCTGTTGGTCTGGCTGCTGCTCAGGTACCGTGGGCAGGGGCTCTGTGTGGCCCGGGGGGCCTGGAGCAGTGACCTGGGGCAGAACGGGTGGCACGCCGTTCACCTCCTCGTCCAGCACAATTCCAGTATAATCCTTCACTGACACATCAAAGCTCTTGCAGCTAACGTAAGGTGGCACGTGAGGTTGCTTGGTACTGCATTCAAAATACCCGTAGGGAACTGAAAAATCTTGTTGAATGTTAGTCACTGCAGTCAGGCCAGACTTGTGTGTGAGAGATGGGTAAGGATGTAAACCATCCACCTTAAAGGGGGAGGAGGCCGTGTACTGCTTCAGTAAAGAGCAATTCTTAGTAGTGTTTGAAGTATGTTTCATGGCATAAAGGTGGTTGGAAGGCTCCATTTTTATCCCAGGTTTTAAAGCATCTGGTTTGTTCCCTAGGAGAAAGAAATGCACACCAAAGTTGTAAGTACTTCTCAATCAATAAAATACCTCTCTTATATTTGCATACTTGCTTTCTAACATGAAAAATGCACACTGATACAGATTTTTCAGAATTATTATTTTTAGCTTTCCAGGAGTATCTCTATGACTGTTCACATCTCTCTCTCTATATATATATCTCACACATATACACATATACCTATCATATATATATATAAAATAACCTTGCTCAATTAATGCCTTAACCTTTTCCAGTCAGGCTGCTGGTATATAAAATAGAAAGGTATTTCACTGAGGGATGAAGAAAATAAAAGAAAAAATTAAATAACCACTAATTCCCAATTCACGCAGCCCAGGCCTACAGAAATGCTTCCCAGCAGCTGACTGCTGGCCTTCAGTTTTTACATAATTGATGAAATTCAGTCTGAAATTCAGTCTATGAATCAGTTAAAATTCTGGCCTGCCTTAACCCCACATTATGATCAAAGGAAAAAGCATGTTTAGGGATCTTGTCCATCACAGCAGAAACAGTTACTGCATTACGATGACTCATGCATTCCAATACTGACTCAGAAATTGCCTTAAAAACAAAGTATCTGGCAACATGCTCCAGGTAAACCCATCCCTATAAAATGGATCTGGAGTCATGTGATTGGGCTGCCTGGCACCTTCCCATCTAACTGCCCCACTATTTCAGGTCTCTGTGCAGGCATCCTTGTGCAGTTTCTGTCAGCCCTGAACCAGTTTGCAGCCACAGCTGGGCTGGGTTGGGACCAGGCTCCTCCCAGGCTGCTCTCACCATGGGCAGGTTCAGAGCCCAAGGAATGAAGAATTCCACTGGCTCTGCTGGCTCTGCCATGCCCTGCCATGGCTGTACGTGTTCTGCTGGCAGCTGGCACCACACAGCTCTTGCTTCCCCTCACAGAGCACTGTCAGTGTTCCTTTATTCCCTAAATACACAGAATGGTTAATTGTTTTACACAGTGTAGAAGCATAATTCATTCTTCTAGTCTGTCTCCTAGTAATTTATAAATCAGTGATGAATTAAAAACATTCCTCCCATAGGAATGCACAAAAGTCAAAGTGGGATAATGACAGGCACAATAGTTAGTATGCAGAAACTGAAAGCTGTATGGGGACATGAGGAGGCCACATCAACTCTATAAAAACCTTTCTGTGAAATAAACCACAAAGTGTTTAATGACTTTAACAGCCCCCACCCCAGGGCAAGGCCTCTGCCCTAGGGATTTTAAACACAGCATTTGAGAATTGCATTCTCCATCACATCAGGAGAGAGACTGTTCTGCGAAAATAAGTTTTAACAACCTCAGCACTCAATTATGGAAGTGTAGCAAATGGATTTATTTGTTTTTTAAATGTTATCCCCCCAAAATGCAGAGACTTCTTGAAGCACATTTACCTGTTATTCCTTCTCTTAAAAATTCTACATGGGTCTGTGTTCCAGATTGCAAGGCAAGATGTATTTATTACCACCTGTGTGGCAGCTGTCTTTTGCAAAGCAGGCAGTTCCTTATCTCTCTCTGAGTAACCACAATCACTCATCTATTGGGAGGGGACAACTGCTGATAACAGCTATTGAATGTCACTGCATGGCTGATAAGAACTGCAGCATCCCACTGGGAGATGTGAGCACAGAGGGAGGAGTCAAGCATTGCTGCCCAGATATAATCTGGAGATTCTGGAACACCAGCACAGCTTCTCCACTGGATTCCCCAGAGGAACAGCAGCTGCCTCTCCTTCCCCTGGATCTTCAGAGGCAGAATCCATCCTTCTCTACAGGACTCCCCTGCTCCAACAGAAGCACCCCTGACACTGCAGGAGGGCTGCAGCCACATTTCCAATGGGACTGCCACCAACAGCCTGACCAACAGGGTGTCAGGTTGGGTTCTGACTCTGGCAGTGTTGGTTTAGTTCACTGCATTGTTTATTTTATCTTTTTATTCTCTTCCCTATTAAAGAACTGTTATTCCTGCTCCCATATTTTTGTTGCCTGAGAGCCCCTTAATTCAAAATTTATAGCAATTGGTGTGGGGGGGGGAGGTTGTTCACATTCTCCATTTCAGGGGAGGCTCCTGCCTTCCTTAGCAGGCACCTGCTTTTCCAAACCAAGACAGTCTGGATGTCTCTTATGAAATGAAATTCAAAATTACGGCAGATGAGCTCGTTTCCCTCTCTTCTTCCTAACAGGCTGTGCTTTAATTGTATTTATTTTTCACCAGCTAATCACAGAGTTTAAGTCCATGGCTTCTTCCATCTCTTCCTTCTTTTCTGCCTCTCAGGAGTGGCCAGTGCCATGCAGCAGCCCTTCCCAGGAGGCCTCACCCGGGATGTGACACCGGGCACAGCCCAGCCTGGCACAGCCCTGCACTGCCCATGGGCACAGGAGCCACCAGGGCCTCCTGGCACCTCCCTGGCAGCTGGCAGCCTGCCCTGCCCTGCTCCTGCCACAGCCCTGTAAGGGACAAGCTGCAGTGCCACTTGATGAAATCTGGGGTTTTTCCACAGCTCTTGCTGTGCAGCAGTGTCCATGCCATTGCCAGGGAAGGGTCACAGCCCAGTTCTGAGGAAGCCATTGTCTGCCACAGGAATGGAGAACACAGCTCTTGTACTTCAAAGTGACACAAATTCAAGAGCTTATTTAGGTCAACATTCCAACAATGTTCTTTCAAGATGGTCAAACTGCCGTTATTTATTAGAATAAGGGAACTTGGAAATATTTCATAGGTGTTCACAGACCACCAACAAACTATTTTTGGGTGGTCACCTGGGGTTTATTCTGCCCCATGAGACAACACTGGCTGCAGTGACTTGTTCATTAAGCCCTAAAATGCAGAATATACAAGTGGTTTGTTTTAAAGGGGCTTTTCCCTCCCATCAGATGTGTAACAGAACACAGAATCAGAACAGACTGGTAGAATTTCCCAAGTATCACTCACCTAAACAATGCAAAGCGTTGCCAAGATTTTCTGGGGCTTCAGTTTTCAGTTTTACCGGTGTTGAATATTTTTTATCTATTAATGGCTGCTTTTCACTCGGGGTCCTCCTTGTGTCTGGTTTCTTTTTCTTGGCGGCTCTGAGAGGCTCAGCCAACATCCTCACTTCCCTGGGGAACGCTGTGAGCACCTGGATGGCTCCGGCTTTGATCTTGGCCTCCAGGCCCTCCTCGGTGCCAAACTCGTCGGTCTGGGATATCTTGTACAGCGGCAGCACGTGCAGCTGCTCGTCGCTCGGGATCACCCCCACTCTCCTGTTGTCCTCCTTGGTTAGGGTGCACACCTGCCAGGGGCACAAGGGCCACAAATCATCCACTGCACAAAGCAGCAGCTCATCAAGGCTCAGGCACTCCTCCTGGCCTCCACTGCTGACTCCTGCTCTGAGGCCTCAACACCAGGCGGCTTTAATGCAAACAGCTGACAAATGATTGGACAAATTACTTGCCAGACAAATAGCATCATCTGTGATGACACAGGAAAACTGTCATATTTTAAGATCAAGGCACATGTCTTTGACAAGAAAGTGAAATTTTGTCTTAGCTTACAGTATGCCAACCTTGGTAAATAATCTCAGCTGTAAATATACTGCAAAGTTCCTAAGCATTCCAGTTTTTTTTTTTTTAATGCATAAATACATAATTGATGTTCACATTCATTTTTAAGGATTATAAAATATGAAAAATTATTTTTGCATGAAACAAAAAGTGTTTATGATCTGGAATTTATTCCATGATTTGGAATTGGTTTTGGTTTCGGTTGGTAAATGAAAAACCCCAAACCAGCACCGTCACTCATACTGCTCTATACATTTTGCAAATCTCAGCTCTAACTCCCTCCCTCTCTCAACATTTTCTTAAATCAACACCCCACTGTAATTAACTCACAGGACCCAGGAAATGTTCTCTTAGGCCACTGCCCTACTTCCTGTTATTCTGAGCTGTGAGATGCTGGAGCCCAGAGCAGAGTGCTGATTACATCCAGTTTGATGAGCTCACATCAGAAACAAGAATAAATATTCCAATTTACTGCAATAGTTTTCTTGTTGTCATTATAAATGTTGAACCTTTCCAGCACTCCTTGAGTTCCAGCTGTTACCAACACCAACCCATCCCCTAGAGAGCAGCACTGACACTGGCACTGCAATCCCTGGGGTCACTCCCAAGGGATGGCAACAGCTCTGTGTGCCTGAGCCCTGGCACAAACATTCACCCCTGAGCCCTGGCACAAACATTCACCCCTGGGC